ACCTGAGGTCTTCCTCCACCAGTAAAAGCTGGAACGTTCGCGATTATGACCTATACTGTGGGTCGATGTGACGTAAACCCCCAAACAAAACAAAACAAAAAAATGTTAAGAGGCCAGAGCACATCGTTTTTATTTTTTTAATTTAAATGTCCCTAAAGCCACTACAGTGTATAGTTTTTCAAACACTGAATTTTCCATTTTCAACTTGTTTGCTTCTTACAATTGTAATAGAATTTCTAAAAGTATTGCATGTAATCCGCTGGTTTATTACATGTATACTTATAATGTGTATCCCTAATCGGCCCTGTCCGAAAATCAGCACAGGTGAAGCAGAATTATTTTAGAATAGCTTGAAGGTTAACTCATATCTTGACCTAGAAAAATATGTAAAACAAACCACAAGAATCGGAAGTTAGAAAGTGATATTATAACTTCCTTCAAATAGAGATTACCATAACAAAAAAGACTAACATGGTGGTAAAGTGGTTTGAAAAACTCTCCTTGTTAACATGCATTTTTCAAAAATAGATATTTATACGTAACCATTGTATCTGTATTCTAATTTATTAAATAACTGCTGAATATTCAGCGTAAACCCCCGCGGTATGAGTCACGAAAATAGTTTCTTCTTTTTTCTAATGCGCGACAAGTTTTTTCTAAAGTCACGAAAACCCTTTTGATTTGTTTAATAATAATGTTTTGTATAATGTAGAAATATTTATTTCCTACTAATTTTAATTTCTTTGGAACTCAGAGCTTACACCTTTTATTATAGTAAATAATTTGACTGTAATTTGCATATTGCGCCATAAATACTACGGATAAAAACGTTTTTATCAATCAATATACGTTCATATTTTAACTTGGATAACTTAAAATTTGGGAAATTGAAAAGGCTAAAAATATTGAAGATTTTTAAGAATATCCCGACAAAGGGAATGGGAGTTTTTAAAGGATCAAATTCAGTATTATTTCTTGGCTGTTAATCGGTTTTGAGGACACTTTGCGCGATTGTAGCCGACTCGAAATCCCATATGTAGATGATTTAGCTGATGAACGCGCCTGAGGGCGCGGTCCGTTCGCAAAAAAATAAATAGGAGTCGCTTCGTTCAGAAAATGAAGTCATTATTCCCCGTTTTTAGAAGTGTTATTTGTGATAAGGGCAAAACAAGCGTTAACCAAATTAAAATAAGGGAATTCAGTTTTTAGTCAACTAAATATTTGGGCCGGTTCTTGATCTTAAACATGGAACAGATGTTCCCCTATTTTCAGATTGTCAAATACTTGTCCCTTTATTTTACTGAAAATAACCATTTGTTACATTAATTTTATTTCAATTAACTTGTATACAATATAAACAGAGAGCCGTTGTTCAGAGGGCTGCACTTTTCAATCTCACTAAAGTTCAGATCTTAAAATTTATTTCTTACATGTAGATTCTGGTTAAACACCATTTATGATTCGGCCTTCCCATTATGATTCAGATTTCCCGAGAAAGCTTTTTTTAAAAGCCACGCAATCAAAATCGGTTTTTCACAGATATGGGGGCATTAGACGAAATTACCTAAAATTTTCGTTGTTCTTGGAAGTTTAAACAAAGTGTAGATTTTGCTAGAAAAAAATGGTTGATGTCATCTGAAACAAGTTAACTGGAAATAATAGACTCAATTTTAATGGACAAGATTGTATTGCCAGTTTTACCTGCCGGATATAATTGACAACGGCCTTGTTTGTTCTTGAAAGAAAAGACTGACTTTTCAAATAGCGCTTGGGTTCAAACCCCAGAAAAAAAAAACCAAAAAGATGCAATATTTTTATTTCAATTTTTCTTCTTTTAGTTTTTGTCAGATTATGTATTTTCTTTCAAATTTATTTCTACAATTTGTGGTTGTTTTTTTTTTAATCAAGTTTTATGAAATAACAGAAACAGAAAGTTTTATTTTGACGTATACAAAGTACAAAGTCAATACAATAATACATTTCATACATACATATATCAATTCACAAAATCAATTGGATAGTCTGCCAAATTTCTTGACGGTGAACAGTTTATTCTATTTTGTTTCCTTCAGTCTAGGATTTGACATATATCAGTTTACATATTTATTAAATAGTTTTATATTGAGTTACGAACATGTTGACAAAAATAGCCGTGAATTTCACATACATTTATTGTGTCAACTTGCAATAAGTTATCTATACATACGTAAATAAACAACCGATATCTAACTATATAATGAGTATATTTCTATATTGATTTCGAAGGGAGCTAATTAAATGTAAGTCTTTGTCAATTGTAATTTAACGAGTTAATCATAACGTTAATTAACATCTATGATTGGTTAGCACTTCTGTATCATAGTATAGGTAATATTACATTTAAAACATTTTTTATCCAGATAAAGGTGAATTAAACCAACTATTAGTATTCACACTATACTAAATTGAAAAGGGAATATAACTCCAAAACGTACAGCTAACCTTTAAAAACGAAAAGAAAAGGTTAAAATTGGCTATTCCAAAAAATATTTCGAGCACAAGTTGTAATTTAAGAAAAAGCCTTACGCTACTTTGGGTCAATGAAGAAAAATAATATTCTTAATACAAAATTTTTAACTTGAGCACAGGAGTAATTATTCCTTTTTTACAAAACATATATTAATATTATAGTAGTTATCGTAACCGAATTGTAACCTTAGCCATAAAAGTTTTGTCTATACATAAGTTAATGACACCGGATAACTAACTTTAATACTAATTGTTAGAATTTCGCACGGGAGTTAAAATTAAATGTGGTTTTGTCCATATCGATATTTCGAGTCAAAAACGCCATTGCACTTATTCCCAAAATGGTTTTGGCTAATTATAAGATATTTTCAAGACTAAATATAAACTAATAATTTATTTAAAATTAAGGGAACTGAAAGTTGACCAAGAAACATTTCCATATAAAGTTTTGCTATTCTTTCAATCAATGTTTGGCTAATTAATAATATATTTCATAAACTTTTAATATAACTAATCATTCTTTTACCGAAAAAGGGTTGTTCCAAAATGACGTAGACTAATTATTTTCTCTTCAAACCTGAACGTCATAAACTTTAATTAAAAAATTTCCAGATATTTCCTTTTGGTCATTTTGTTAATTTTACCTTCTTTAAAGGTAAATAGCCACTTATATAATAAGCGTAACGCTTTTTTTATCAGGGGGTTTTAATATTAAACAGTACAACATAAACCCGGAAGCATGATAAAATATTAGTCAGTTTGGAGAGCATGCTTCTTAAAAACATTCCTTTAACGTCCAGCATAAATAAATTATGGGAATATACATTCCTGTGGAACGACGTTCATTCATTTTTAACGTCATATCCCAAACAAACATTTAATGTAACGCTTACTTTTGAAAAAATCTGTAGCATAATATGTAAACACAATGCATTTTTTAAAATTTCCCAAAATGGCGACGTCAGATGAAAAATGCGGTGGGCGCAGGCGCGATGTTATTGAATACTGGTGTTCAATTCAAGAGGCGTCCAAGCATTAACTGACAACATGAAGAACATTATATTTTATCAAGATAATGCACTTTGGGCCATAGATCTCAGGAGACACAGCTTGAACTTTTGATGTGAAGGTTTTTTAGAGACTTCCATATAAGCCCTTTAGACTTTGCAGTGTTTCCTTATGTGAAATAAGCCACAAATAACGCAGGTCCCCACTGAGGTTCGAAAAATTTCAAGGGGTACTAAGCAAGGAAACTCGACGAGTGTTGAGAACATTAAAGTAGGAATTTGATTTTGAAAATGGGGTTATGATAAATGGGTCGCCCGACACCGACAAGTGGATCGAGAAACACGGAGAATACTTTGAAAAACATTTTTTTAAATCTTGTAAACGTCATGACGTTTATGACGGCGTGCGCCGGGTAAGTATAGGTAGCATTCTTTAAATTTTTTAATAACTTGGTCATTTTTGGAGGTAATTTTTGATTTTATTTCGCATAGACACACATAAAAGGTGTATTGACTTTTCCCTGGCTTGACGACTCTATTGTTTTATAATTGATTGAGTAACAGACTTTGTCTACGATATTTTGGGACAACCCTCGTAAATTAGAACTGTACGGTTGACCAGAAACATCCATATAAACACTATTAGGCTTATGAAAAATAACATCTTATTTACAACATCAAACTATAAACATACATATATACAAACTAACACAGTCCTGGTTGAACCAAAGCAACCATATAAACACTAACAGGGCATATAATAAATAGCACGTTTCAATATTTCAAGACAATTTACACTAATCCGTAATATTAATAATCGAATTTCTTATAGACATTGCGTTTTTACAGTATAACCCTAATTTATAAAGAGCAGTCTTATTTACTGTTTGTAACTATTCTAAAAACTTATATACACTTGGTTTGATATAATAATATTTTGCTATAAATTTTTTTCGTAAATCTGAATAGAGAGGGCATATAATAACAAATGTACACTATTAACTGTGAAATATGTGAAATTTGATAGCAAAACTAATTAAAAATAGTTTCAAGATAATTGTTATTAAACATATTTTTATGCCCGATTACATTGTACAAAATCTAACGGGATTTTTTCACTCCATCCTCTTCTTATTTGATGTAAAATGAAAGGTAACATAGATTTTACTTTAATTTATTTCAAGTTATTAAAAATTACATGTATAGTTCTGTATAATCACTTTTCAAATAAGGAAAATATGAAATAAGTGAAACTTTTCTACAGAAAATGAAAACAAAATTGTTGTTGTTGTTGTTGTTGTTGTTGTTGTTGTATAAAACCGATACAAAAGTTATTAACAAGATGGTAAACTTTTGTATTTTTTTTTCTTTCTATTTTTTTTTCTATTTTTTTTTAGTATTTATGTATAGAATATAATAAAGTTTAATTGAATACAGTTTTAAACGCCTTTTGAAAAAGTGTAAATTAATCTTATAAATCTAATACTTTTATGTTATTAACTGACTGCGATTGGTCAATTAATATGAAACACGAAATCCGGTGAAAGAAGAAAACTTGTACATGTGGTTTTGTCCAAAGCAATCCGATAGCACAACAATATCTCCTGCTTTTAAATGATAAACAAGTGATCCTGATCCTGACTGATATCCATCATTGACATTAGTACCACTGTTTACTACTAACTTGTTAATACCGTTGATAGAAAAAGAACATCCGCTTTCATAAACACCCGGGCTTCTGAAAAAAGTTGCTGTGAAGAAGTAGAGTCCTGGATGTCTACAAGTGAACACACCTGAGGACACATTATAGTTGTCGCCTGTATTGTATATTACGTCTTTGAACTTAAGGGGATAACCGGAGGATGTATCTGGGTTATCTACAGCAAATCCGACCGACACGTCTGAAAAATGATATTGAAAATTATAACAAGTCATTTTTACACAATTTTATTTTTGTTGTTGTTGTTGTTGTTGTTTTTTCTTTTTTTTCTTAAATGTAAAAGTTTACTCTTATGTTCCCAAAATAATGTCTGCCATACAAGATCAAAAAAAAATCTGATAACTACCTCTTTCCTTTTTATTACAGTGCAACCGTGCTAGTTATACACCCATTTCTTTTATAGAAAGTGTCTGAAGTTATTGTTTTAATAATATGGATGCAACTGATAGTTAAGATAATTTAGAGCTAATCTATGTAATTTCTTAAGGTAGAATATTGATTGATACATATAAAGAGCAGTGTACTTACTTGATTCATTTAATTTGTTCGTCAAATTTTGGAGAACTTCTGTCTGAATCTGTCCCTGTGCGTGTTCAAGCTTATCAATTTTTTGGCTTAGAGATGTCACCAGTTTCTGCATATCCTCTCCTAAAGAGTAAACGTTTTACAAAAGTAATAAAACAGCAATGTAGTAAACCTATTCTGGTTCCAAAATTATTTAATCTAAGCTTTTTATCACAAATTGTACATAAGTGATAAATCTCTTGATGAGTTAACAGAAATACATGAGAAAGCTAGTTTACAATATTTCAAAATAATGTATCAATTTATATTTATCTTCGGAACACGTCCTCTATTATTCTTATTTGAGCTTACCCGGAGAATGACGGAAATAGCCGATATGTTTCTATTGTTTGCAGATAGAATTCGACCAATCAGAAGTTCTTACTTTTGAAAAATTTCAACAAATCACCAGATGCAAAAGACATCTCACATGGTTCTTTTTAAAGACGCAAACTTGTTATGCTCACTATCAGTTCTACAAACGTCGATACATTACTTTCCCCTACGAGATGTTTCGTGCCGAGACTTGGCATAAGAAATCTTTTGGTACGGCAACTCCAGTCCGGAAGTTGTCTACATCATCCCAGCGCTACAACCAAATGTATTTGTTAAAGGCCCACAAACAATGTCTGTTAAAACCTAGCTCACCACCAACATTGGTTTGTGTCTTTATATATTGAAATCGTTTCCGTATGTAAATTTACCAACTTTAGTTTTTGCATATTATTATGCTCATTATCAGTATAATGACGCTCTACCAATGTCGTTACAAATGTAGAAAAATGTAGGCAAAATAGTATTTTGACTTCCATACAAAATACTAATTCTACAAATTGCCAATTGAGCAAAAGTTGCAGGTACGAGTTCATGAATATGGCTATTCAATTTTTTTTATATAAACTGTGATAAGTTACAAAAAAGTTTTTGTAAAATAAAATTGATAGCGTTTCTGAGGCATAGTGTTCCTTTAAGTATTTATATAAAACATATAACGTATGAATATGACGGCAGGAATTTTTTTACAATTTCGAGATGATGATGACGATGATGATAATGACGATGATGATGATGACGATGATGATGATAATGATAATGACGATGATTGACCTATGATAAATGCACAATGTTGATACTGCTCAATAAATATTTGTTATATATGTTACAAGAAAGCATGTGCCAAAATATATATTTCATATTTTTAAATCATCAGAAGTATGGGACGCTTAACCGTCATAATAGAGCATCGTGATAGATGCAACACCGCCCCCCCCCTTGTTGTGAGCTATATCCATTGCAATTCTGGCCAGGTGCCGAAGAATAAAGCTCTCTGGAATCATTTAATTTATTGGTTGAGACCTACATGTGGTGTAACATAGCTTATGTAATTCGATTTCTTGACCTTTTATATTGATTCAACGCAAATGTAATTATCAATTAATTTATCATATTCACACAATTAAATAAACATTTTTACATACAGAAAACATTGTTTAAGGCGACTTACCAGAGCACTCTCTATTCTGACACTGAACTGTTTCTGTACCATTACCGTTACAGCCAAAGCCATTATCTATCGGCGAAACGCTTGTGCATGTTCGCATCCTCCATTTGAATCCTTGTCCACATTTGGCGTTACAAGGCGACCAATCAGACCAGTTTGTCCAAATACCAGCTACCGTTGCCCCTACAATATAATATAAATAATAATAAAGACTTTATTTAAAGAGGCAACATAGTTATGCATGCCCAGTCTTCCCTATGAGCCTCTATCAAATATACAATGTACATAGTATGAACATTTACAACAAAAGGTATGATAAACAACAACAGAAAAATCATTGTTAAAAATAGTTAAGAAACATATAAAATGAATATCTAGAGGGAAACAAAAAAGAAAGAAAAATGACAAAAGGCATTACATAGACAATGAAAGTAAAATATACATTTCTCATTTTATTATACAACGTGATAGGTTTTTTCCAACCAGAGAACCACCATTTCAGATAATTATTTTTGAATGACTTTAAATTTGTAGAGTTTCTTATATCTAAGGGAAGATAATTCCAAAGTTTTGAGCCAGAATATGATAAAGATTTTCTGCAGAACTTAAGTCTAGGTTTCGGGATTTGAAGTAGTTTTTGTTCATATGATCTTACATGTGTATTTTTTGTGTAAGTAAAAAGGTTTTGCATATAATCAGGGAGGACTTGTAGCTTTTTTATAATTAACTCTTTCAGAAAATTTCATCCAGTTTAATTCAGAAAATAATTCATCAGTGGGGGCATCAAAATCTTTGTCTAATATTATTCGCACTGCCCGTTTCTGAAATGTATACAAGTCATTTAGGATTTCCTTACTGCAATTTCCCAAAAAAGTGCAACAATAGTCTAAATAGGGAAGAATGTATGCATTAAAGAAAATTTTCCTTAAATGAACATTTAGAAATTGTTTTATTCTCAAAAGCAGGTATAGTAATGAATTGCATTTATTCAGTGTCATTTTGACTTGCGTTTTCCAGTTCAGTGTATGATCAACATGGACACCTAAAAGTTTTTTCTGTTTCTGAAAATTGTAAGCTTTCTGCAGCTCCGCTGATAAAGAGTAAACGGTTTACAAAACTAATAAAAGATCAATTTAGTGAGCCTGTTCTGGTTCCAAAAGTATTTAATCTAAAGATGTGTGAAGTTGGTGGCCTAGCGGCTCAGTGGCCAAGCGACGTGAAGTTGGCGGCCTAGCGGTGTGAAGTTGGCGGCCTAGCGGTCAAGCGGCCTGATGGCCGAACATTTGAATGTTTTTGAAATGTTATATAAACAAGGAAACGGCATTTAATTGATATTAAACATATTAAAGAGCAGTTGTTACTTAAAACATTGTTTTCACTTTAATCTGTTCGTAATTTTGATCAGGCGTAGCTAGATCGACGCGATCGAGTTTTCTGTCTGAATCTGCCCCTGTGCGTGTTCAAGCTTATCAATTTTTTGACTTAAAGTTGTCACTAGTTTCTGCAGATCCCCTGCTAAAGAGTAAACGGTTTACAGAAATAATAAAAAAGCAATGTAATCAACCTGTTCTGGTTTCAAAGGTATCTAATTTAAGCGTTTTATCATAAAGTCTAAATTAGTGATAAATCTTTAGATGAGTTAACAGAAATACATGAGAAGACTAGTCGAGAATATTTAAAAATAATGTTTCAATTCATATTTAACTTCGGAACACTTCGCCTATCATTCTAATTTGAGCTTATCCAGAGACTGATGGAAATAGCCGATATGTTTCTATTATCCGCAGATACAATTCGACCAATCAGAAGTTCTTACTTTTGAAAAAAAATAACAAATCATCATGTCAGATCAACTGCAAAAAGACATCTCGCATGTTTATTTTTAAAGTATCAGTATTATGACGTTCTACAAACGTCGTTACATTACTTTCCCCTACGAGATGTTTCGTGCCGAGACTTGGCAAGGGAAATCATTTGGTAAGGCGACTCCAGTCCAGAAGTTGTCTGTATCGGTTTAAGGCACATAACCCTGTCTGTTGAAACCTAGCTCACCACCAAGAGTGGTTTGTGTCCTTCTATATTGGAAACGTTCCCTTATGTAAATTTACCAACTTTAGTGTTTGTATATTATTATGCTCAATATCATTATTATGACGTTCTACCAACGTCGTTACAAATGTAGCAAAATGTAGGCAAAATAGTATTTTGACCTCTATACAAAATACTAATTCTACAAATTGCCAATGGAGCAAAAGTTGCAGGTACGAGTTCATGAATATGGCTATTAAGATTTAAAAAAAAACTGTGATAAGTTACAAAAATAAGTTTTTGTAAAATAAAATTGATAGCGTTTCTGAGGCATAGTGGGCCTTTAAGTATTTATATAAAACATACATGTATAACGTATAATTATGACGGCAGGAATGTTTTTACGATTTCGACATCATGATGACGATGATGATAATAATGACAATGATTGACCTATGATAAATGTACAATGTTAATATTGCTCAATTAATATTTGTTATATATGTTACAAGAAAGCATGTGCCAAAAAATATATATTTCATATTTTAAAATCATCAGAAGTATGGGGCGCTTTATCCGTCAAAATAGAGCATCGTGATATATGCAAATCCACCCCACTCCTCCATTGCAATTCTGGCCAGGTGCCGAAGAATAAACCTCTCTGGAATCATTTAATTTATTAGTTGAGACCTACATGTGGTGTAACATAGCTTATGTAATTCGATTTCTTGACCTTTTATATTGATTCAACGCAAATGTAATTATCAATTAAATTATCATATTCACACAATTAAATAAACATTTTTACATACAGAAAACATTGTTTAAGGCGACTTACCAGAGCACTCTCTATTTTGACACTGAACTGTTTCTGTACCATTACCGTTACAGCCAAAGCCATTATCTATCGGCGAAACGCTCGTGCATGTTCGCATCCTCCATTTGAATCCTTGTCCACATTTGGCGTTACAAGGCGACCAATCAGACCAGTTTGTCCAAATACCAGTAACCCCTTCAAAAATTAAATTCATCACTTTTGCTTGCGGAACATATAATTATGTTGTTCATAAAAGCGAATTCACTGTCTTTTTAGGGAACCTCCATGGTCGAGTGGTTAAGATTGTCGACTTCAAATCACTTGCCCCGTGCTGCTGCTAATTTTCACAAATTAGTTTGTGTAACTGCGGTTTTAATTATATGTTGTTTTTATCCATATAACATTAATGAAATAGAAAAATAAGTCAAAGAAATCAGAATCAGTTGATAAATTATATATAAAGCTCTCTCAGCAAAAACATTATTCTGAGTTCAATGGCAGCTTTCGGTCATTTCCGTCAACATCCGGTAAATATGAGTAAAGTTATAATATTTGGGTCCCAATTTTAAACAATATAACACAAAACAAAAAACAATAAGTTCGTACTATATTTTCCTGGTGTTTCTTATTATTAAGCCATAAACAAACAAAAATAAAGATTATATTCTAATGTGTTTAATATAGCTTTTATCACCCAACAGACTTGCAGCAAGTTCGATAAATAAATCTTTAGTAACTGACCTTTATTATTTGAAGCCTTTGGGAAAACGTTTGTACCTCATGTATAACAGAAACGATACTGCTCGATAAATCAAACAGTTCCAAATTAAAATTTGAAATTAAAGCGACAGTACAACCTAAGTTACACTTCTTGGCTGAAGGAGTATTTTATCCCTGCAAAGCTCCCCTGGAACCATGTTTGAAAGAGATCATAAATTCTGCCCTTGCCTCAGTCCCTATTTATCTATCCGACGCAATTCGGTTTAAATTTTTTTTGCTGTGTTCCTGAACCCCCCGTAATGAGTATTTAACTCCATAACGAACATCAAAATTAAAATCAAAAATTCCCGGTTTTTATTTAAATTTAAAATCAAATCAAAAATTTATTCAATTTGCTGGCTCCATAACACGATACAAAACTAAAAAAAATTTAATAGGGTTTGAATTTACTTAGTTGATTGAAAATTGTTTATTCAATTAATTCTTTTCGAACCTTCTAAATTCCATTTTAAAGTAGAAAATTACTTTTTCCATTTGTGTTTATTCTTTTAAAAACAATTAAAACACTTTTTAAAGATGTATGAAAGCCATACTTAGGTCTGTGGTCCATTTTAACTTCCTTTAGTGAAAAGTTTCCCTGGGGTATGGTATTTAGGGTATTAATTTTTGGTTTAGAATTTTTTTTAAATTTTTAAAGTTTTATTTTAAGGTTTTTTTTTTTTAAGAATTCCAAATCTTCTAACAGGTTTTTGCAAAAAAAAACTGGGTTTGTTGTTGTTTTGTTGTTGGGTTTTTTTTTGGGTTGTTTGTAATTGGGTTAAAATAAGTGGTTCAATTTTCGTTTTCAAATCCATATCTTATATCAAAATCGGTTTAAAAATGCCAAATATTGAAATTAAATGCCTTATATTGAAATTAAATGCATAATATTTAAATTAAATGCCTAATATTCAAATTAAATGCCTAATATTTAAATTAAATTCCTAATATTTAAATTAAATGCCCAATATTCAAATTAAATGTCTAATATTCAAATTAAATGCCTAATATTTAAATTAAATGCCTAATATTGAAATTAAATGCATAATATTGAAATTCAACTGTTAAAGCACTACAGGAGAAAACGTTTTGTTACATTTAAGTTGTGCGTACATGTGTTGTTTAATTCATACGACCTTTTAGTCTTCGCTGTGGATCTGGACCATCACTTATAGGAAGCCAAGCTCCTTAGCCATTAAAAACCGATTTGTTAACTTTAAACCTGGCCTGATGGCATTGATCTCTAAAAATGTTACCTAAAAAAATCTGGGAAGGATTAATTAAAACGGACGTTAAATAATTGTTAAACAATATTATTTACTTTTCATCAAATAATAGTTCGTTATTGCTTGTAACGGAAATTTTAAACACGACTTGAAAGTTGAAATGTCAATTGAGACACTTGACTTTGCTTTGTTAACTATCAAAGGTGTACATGTAGTCGCATTGGTTTGACATAAAATACGTTAAAATCTTGATAATTCATGTAATATAATATTGATTATTTATTAAATTAAATTGATTTTTTATATTGTTGTTATATTGTTACAACAATATAACAAAAATATAAAAAAATGTCTATTTTTAATTATTTTTCTTTAATATATGGATATATAATTATTATATTAATGATTAACAAGATTGAAAAATCAATGCAACTACCACCTTTGTTTACTACGTCATACATACTTAAAAATTATTCAAAAAAGTAGAAAATCGTTTTTACTTAAGTTCAAGACCGCACCCAATAGTAGGCGTTTTTCGAAGAAATAACAGTAAAACGGACGTTAATTAACAATGGAGGAACACTACGTCATGGCTAATAGTACTTGAGATAATTGTTAAAAAAAAAAGTTTTTATAGATTTAATTGCCTGGTTTAGCCGTGAAAACGGGATAAGTGTTTTTTTCTTTGTATGCTCCCCCTCGGACTATTCTCGGAACAATTTAAGAAAAAAAAAGGTGAAAAAAACCTTCTTGAAAATTATTTTTAAACTCACAGTCAATGTTTACAGATTTTTTTAGATTGGTTTCAAATAATTCTATTCAAAAAATCATTGTTTTTTTTTTTTTAAGTTTTTTAAAAAAGAATGTAAAATGCTCCCACTTCGGACTTGATTTCAGATATTGCTCCACTCGGACCCAAATATATACAGATTTTGAAAGTACATTGCTGTGGTAAAGTTTTTATAAACTATTTTTCACAATTTTTATACCATTTTTGTCAATACGAGGTATGTTCAAAAGTTCGTGGACTTTTGCTGTCATTTTTTACTTGGTTTTCATAAAAACACTCTTAGTGGATATGAATCGGAAAGAGTGTCTTTTAATTTCTAACAGTAAGATTTAACTTTTTTTTTTAAACTTAATAATTTCCTTTACGAGTTATGTGCCACTTTAATAACCATGGCAACGCAACATGGCGCACGCCAAAATGTTCGTATTATGTTAAAATATAAACAAATGTGAATACAAACTGAATTATTTGTACCTTTTAGAAAATAAAGTCCAGTAAAACATCAAAAATAATATTTAAATTTCTAAATCTGAAATTTGGACGGCGTTTTGGGGCGTTTAATGTGAACAAACCCGGTTTTTTTAAATAGCAGTAAAAACAGACTGGTAAAAAATTTTAAAACGCAATGACCTTTTCGTGTTTTTTTAAAAATCTAATGGTACGGGTTTTTGAACCCTAAAAGAATTTAATTTTCTATCAGGAAATTTTAAAAAGAACAACTTGAAAACATTTTTTTTTATGAAAATAGTTACTTTGTAAAAAATAATGTTTCTGCCCCTACCATTTGGGAAAATAAAACAAAGTATAAATTTTTATTGGGCAAAATTTGGGCGATTTTTAAATCTTTAAATCATCATACCCTTCATTATAATTTTTTTTCCTAAAAAAACAAAATGAAAATAAATTTAGAAAAAAAAAAGATCATAGTTTTTCTTTTATC